AGAATGACTCCAATCAAAAAAAAAAATTTTTTTAAGTGCAACAACAGAACTTCCTCTGCTATGGTCCATTAGGGTTCAAGAGGTGCAGTCCACACGGGGAGCTCTTCTCACCCCAGTCACAGCAGACAATGCTTCCTGCCACTTCCCCCATCACCCAGACCCTTTCCCGCTGCAAAACTGGAAGACTTCCTGGCAGCAGGTGGGCAGTGCTGGCCTGAGGTCTCTGTCTGCCCTGGCTAAGCTCCTCCCTGGTCCTGTGGCAACTGGACAGCAATTTAGTTTCTCAGCTTTGGGAGGTGAGTGTGTATGTCATTTCCAGTTCTGGCTCCTGCTTCCTCTGGATGGACAGTGTCTTGCCCAGTACCAAACCCAGTACACGTATCATGGCCCTGACCAGCCCACACACCTGCCAACCAAACTGGACCCTCGGGAGGATCCTGGGGACCTGCATCCATCCTCCTGAGGGCTGGCCCACATGGGAGTTGGCCCTGCCCCTAAGTGGCACCTCCACAGACAGGGCCAGGCCTTGGCTCACCCTCGCTCTCAAGAGTTTGGGGGTGGGTATCTGCAAAGAGAGGGTGGCATGCAAGGGGGACTGCAACCTCTCGTGGAAAGCCCACTCCAGGAAAGCATTCACATCCCCATTTCCCGGGAACAATTCAAGATAGAGGGAAGTAGCCACTCACCTGGAGTGTTCATCTGCTTATTCCTTTGGCTGATAGTTACCAGTGTTTCTTGCAGCCCATCACTTGGCCTGTGCTGTCCCCATGTGTTCAAGCTGCCCTGAGAGGAGGAGAGCACCCTCACTGTCCACCTAGGGTCCACTCCTGTCCCACCCTCTCCCCAGGTAGAAGCTGGCGTTCCTGATAAATGCCAACACAGTGGGGAGTGGTAACTCATAAGGTACTCCAGCCTGAATTACAGAATGCGATTCCAACTCAAAAAAAAAAAAAACAAAAAAACCAAAGTCAGTGCCCTGGCCCTGAACACTATTTGTGACAAAAGAAGTACAAGTGTAGGCCGGGCATGGTAGCTCACACCTGTAATCCCAGCACTTTGGGAGGTGGAGACGAGAGGATTGCCTGAGTCCACGGGTTCAAGATCAGCCTAGGCAACTTCACAAGACCTCATCTCTACAATAAATTTAAAAATATTAGCCGGGCGTGGTGGCGCATGAGCTTGTAGTTCCAGCTACTTGGAAAGCTGAGGCAGAAGGACTGCCTGAACCTAGCAGGTTGAGGCTGCGGTGGTCATGAGCGTGCCACTGCACTCCAGCCTGGGCGACAGAGCGAGACTTTGACTAAAAAAAAAAAGTCCAAGTGTCTGCCTTCAAAGCATTTTTGTATGACACAGACCACTTTCCCCCAAGCCACGTAAGTTAAAGGAATCTTACATTCCATTTCCTGATCAGAAAAAAGCCAGTATCTACTTTTATAATAATATGTGATCATGTAACAATTGTGATAATATGATGATTAATACTTACTGTGATGACATTATAATAATACATAATATGGCATTAACTTATATCTATAATTATATAGTAATGTCCACCTCCTAGGGCTGTAATATTATTCCAAGGTAATAGAAAGCCAGTGGAGACACGTGAAGCCAACAGCAGGACAGAGGCAGAGGAGACCACAGGTGTGGAACTCGGCTCCTGTCAGGAAGGAGGGAGGGCTTTCTCACCTCCATATCCCTGGCCCCTGGCACATAGTAAGTGCTGGGAAGGGTTGACAGCTGATTAAATAAAGAAGTATTGTCAGCCACAGGCTAACCTAATCTGGTTGTTCTCTGCCTCCCTCAACTCTCTCCCTTGTGTCCAGGACCACACCCTCCCATCCCTGCCCCCTTCCTATGGATCCAGAGTGGGAACAATGACTCAAAGCACTGGGGAGAAAGGCAGAGTCCTGCCTGTAGAAGAATGGGTTCTTGCCTTTGGAGACAAGAGATAAATCCAGGCCTGGAGGAAGGGAGCTGAGGGAGAAGGGGGTGACTAAAGTCACCAGCAGGAGGACCCCTCCCCCAGGAGCCAGGCATAGGACCAAGAGAAGAGCAGATATCCAGGAAGCCCTCCAAGTAAAGACCCTCACCCCAGCCTGGGAAATCCCACCAAACCCAGCCCGGGAACTCTCACCAAACCCAGCCCCTATCCACCCTCCTGACCCTGGTAGGTCCCCTAAAGAAAGGGTGGATGACTGGGGCAGCCTGGGCAGGGGTGAGGGAGACACTCAGCCATGGCTTGCTGGAACAGAAGGAATCAGCGGAGCATTTCTGCATGCAGAAGTGGTAGAGCCTCCCATCACTGTCTGAGCCTCTATCTCCCTCCCCTGTAAAATACAGAATGCCCAGCACCACCCTGAGGTTCAGGGGACCCTGCATATCAGCCCCCTCCCGCTTCCCTGGAAAGTGAGTTCTCTGTGTGTATGGCCACCTGAGGGCCGAACATGTCCAAGTTCATGTCTCAGTGAAACTCAAACCACCCTCCAGGCCCTCCACCCTAGCTTCTCAGTGCCCTGTTTGCACCCATCCAGTGCCTTTAGGGCGATGACTCTTACAGGCTCTGATAGGGCAGAGGTCACAAAGTCTTTCTGTAAGAGGCCCTATAGCAAATATGTTAGGCTTCACTGGTCATAAGGTCACTGTTGAAACTGCTCAATGCTGCTGCCATTTTAGAATGAATAAAGAGGGATGAATATTGTTTATGGAGGATATGTAAATGAATGGGTATGTTTTGTGGCTGTGTTTCCACAAAACCTTATTTATAAAAACAGGCAGATGGGCTGGGGGATGAATAAGATCCATCCTCAGTCAAGCTCACTTGGTCTGGCACCTGCAGCCTCAGTTCCACATCCTGAATCTCAACCCACCAGGCACACAGCCCTCAACATCTGGGCTTGACCAGGTCCCTGTCTGTGGTCTCTGCTCTCAACTGAAGCCACTGTCAGACCAGAGTCAGGACTTTGGTTTTTGTTTGTTTGTTTTGAGTTGGGTTCTCACTCAGCCACCCAGGCTGGAGTGCAGTGGCACAATCACAGCTACCACAGCCTCAACCTCCTGGGTTCAGTATCCTTCCACCTCAGCCTCTTAAGTAGCTGGGACACAGGCACACACCACCACACCCAGCCAGTGTTTTTGTTTTTGTTTTTGTTTTTGTTTTTTTGTAGCAATGAGATCTCAAGATGTTACCCAGGTTGGTCTCAAACTCCTGAGCTCAAACAATCCTCCTGGCTCAGTCTCCCGAAGTCCTAGGATAACAGGCATAAGCATCGCATTTGCCCACTTGAATTTTTTTTTTTTTTTTTGAGTCAGAGTCTTACTATGTCACCCAGGCTAGAATGCAGTGGCACAATCAAGGCCACCACAGCCTCAACCTGTTAGGCTCAGGTGATCCTTCTGACTCAGCCTTCCAAGTAGCTGGAACTACGGGCACACACCACCATGCCTGGCTAATTTTTTTATTTATAGTAGAGATGAGGTCTTGCCAAGTTACCCAGGTTGTTCTCGAACCCTTGGGCTCAGGCAGTCCTCTCACTTTCACCTCCCAAAGATTACAGGAGTGAGCCACCACATCCAGTCACTTGTATTTTTAAAATAAGTCACCAGGCATGGTGACACACTCCTATAATCCCAGCTACCTGGGAAGCTGAAGCAGGAGGAATACTTGAGCCCAAGAGTTGGAGACCAGCCTAGACAACATAGCATGAGATCCTGTCACACACAAAAAAAGACACCAAATCCAATATCATAGGTGAGGGGTGCACATCTCCCTGCCGATGAAGGGAGATATAAGTTGCACTGCCCATGCCAAGCCAGCCTTGACTGACTCTCCCAAGTCTCCCTTCTGGAGCCAGCCTCTCACCATCACTCTGGCCCTTGACACCACTAGTTCTGAGGGTCTGATCTGGCAGGCCCCCTCACACTGCCCCGTCTCCCTCAAGGACCCTTAGGAGCCTCTCCCCTGAGAAGATGGAAGGGCTCCCAACTAGTTAATGCTGTGTGCCGGATTTTGTAATTGTGCTTCTGTGTATAGTGTGTCTGTTTAGCTGGCTATAGAATTCTCTGCACCTAATGCAGTCCTGGGATAGAGTCCAAGCTCAAAAGACACTCCATAGATGAGTGAGTGAATGAATGAATGAATTACTTCAGAGAAAGGGTGGTTTATCTATGGCAGAGTCCAAATTTGAGGCCAGGGCCCTGATTCTGCCTGTGATGCCTCTGGGGAAATCGGCATAAAGAACACAGCCGGGCTCCCCTATTTCAGGCAAGAAACTGGACTTTCACCACCCAGGTGAGATTTACCCACACCAGGATGTGATGGATGCCGACAGTCCACAGATACTCCGAGACATCCATTTCTGAGACTCGTGACATGTTAGCCTCTTTAAGAAGCACAGCGAGAAGGTCTTCTCTCCCTGCTACCTCCCCCACAAGGATTTCCCCACCCTCAGTCCAGGCCAGGCTGATAAACCAAGTCCAGGCAGGCAGAGAGGCACTTTTTAGGTAAATTAACGAAGGGAGCACTGTTGGCAGGAAGGCAGCCTAGGCCGGAGGAATGGCCACTGGTCTGGGTGGCTGAGTGGTCAGAGCCTGGGAGACCTTCCTCTAGGGTCCCTGCTCAACCACACACCTAATGCTTCGGACCAGAGACCCTAATCCTGAATCTCCACCATCTGCAGACCCCAGCTTGGCTGAAGCTTGACCCAAAACCAAGAGAGCATTATGTGTCCTGGTGTCCTGGATTCTCCATGTGTGTCCGCCCTTGATGGGCCCCATTCCCCTCCCCACACTCGCTGGGCACATGCAGCCTGAGGCTCCAGGACAGCATGGAATCACCAAGGCAGGGCTAATTCCCATCTTCCCCCACATACGGGTCAGCGACCCTGGCTTCTGCACCAGAAGACTAACAAAAGGTGCTCTGCCCTTTCACTTACATCCCACAGTAGGCAGGATACTCTTGAAGTCATTCTTCACATACTGGAGAGCCAGGCTGGACTTGCCCACGGAGCCACTTCCCAGGAGAACCAGCTTGAACACAAAGGGCTGGCCAGAGACAGCCCTGGGCCCAGGGGTCCTGTGTGCCTGCGCCATGCCCTACAAAGAATCACAGCAGTCTGAAGCAGGTTGGATATCTGATGTCACATCATCTCAGCGAGCTCATCCCCCTGGAGGCTGCTTCTCTGGTCACATGCAGATGGCCTGGAACACAGCTCCCAAGTCAGAGGCCAGCTGGGTTGGCACCCCTGCTCCCACTGCACCCCATTTCCCCATCTGTAAACTGAGTAAACAAAATCTAGCATATAGGTCTGCTGTGTGGAACAAATGGAGCTTCGCTTGGAAATCGCCCAGCCCAGGCTATTGCAGACCCTGAAAATGAGTGGTTATGCACTAGGGATCTTATGGTCTAATGTTCTTATTCCATTATTTCTCATTTTTTTCAAATCTATCATTTATTCTAAAAAGCAACTGAAGCACCGAGAGGTAAAAAGCATCTGAGCATTTCTTGGTTGTTTATTTATGAATTAAAGTTGGTGTTTCAAAAAAAAAATCTATTTTAAAAAAGTTGAGCCAGGTTGGGCTCAGTGGTTCAACCTGTAATCCCAGCACTTTGGGAGGCCAAGGTGAGTGGATTGCCTGAGCCTGCAGTTTCGAGACCAGCCCGGGCAACTTGGTGAGACCTCGTCTCTACAATAAACCAAAAATTAGCCGGACATGGTAGCACACATCTGTAGTTCTGGCTACGTGGAAGGCTGAGGGGAAAGGATCGCCTGAGCACAGCAGGTCGACACTGGGGTGGCCGTGAGAGTGCCTCTGCACTCCAGCCTGGGTGACAGAGTGAGACTCTGACTAAAAAAAAAAAAAAAAAAAAATAGTTGGGCCAGGCACAGTGGCTCACATCAGCATTTTGGGAGGCCAAGGCAGGAGGCTTGCTTGAGCCCAGAAGTTCAAAAGCAGCCTGGGAAACATGGCGAGACCTTGTCTGTACAAAAAATCAGAAAATTGGCCGGGCACAGTGGCTCACGCCATAATCTCAGCACTTTGGGAGGCCAAGGTGAGAGGATTGCCTGAGCTCACAGGTTCGAGACAAGCCTGGGCAACTTGGCGAAACCTTGTCTCCACAATAAATCAGAAAATTAGCCAGGTGTGGTGGCACCTGTAGTCCCAGCTACTTGGGAAATTGAGGTGAAAGGATCACCTGAGCCCAGGAGTTTGAGGCTGCCATGAGCCGTGATTGTCATGATCATGCCACTGCGTTCTAGTCAGGGCAACAGAAAGACTCTGATTTTTTAAAAAAGTTGGTATTTTAACTATCTCAAAAACATTTAAATTCTTCTATTGTGTCTAAAGCCTCAGAACCCACAGTGACAAGCCCTGGAGAAAACCAGCACTGTGATCAAAATAAATGTGGGCAAACCCTGCATATTTTTTTCCTTGCAGAAGTGTTCATGCACATGTTACACTAGAAAGGATTATCTGAAGGGCCAGGGTATCCATCTCCCACTACTCAATAATCAGCTCTGCCAATCTTATGTCCCCACATACACCTCACCCAAACCGTCTCCCATCAGGTTGATATAAAGTGAAACCCATCTCATTACAGACATATATATTGCTTTTTTTCTTTGCAATTTAATCAGGTTGTCTCATAGCTTTCCAGTGCATCCCTGTGTTGTCACTGAATATAGTTCTCTGAACCCTATTATATATTTTAAGTAGCTTGGTGGTTAGGGTTAGGGTTAGGGGTTTTTTGGCAAGAAAGTTTCAAAAGTGTGGTGTGCATTTCCTCTCAGAAGGCAGATAACATCCAGTTGTCTCTGTCATGCAAGTAGTCTTTGAATACCATTGCCTACTATTCAAGTGAAATCTACTACTTCACTTGAGTGTTGCAAAATGGTGGCATTCTCATGCCATCACTTTGTTCATTATCTGGATGACTCCTAGAAAGAGAAACTTCCCCTAATCAATATCCAAACCCAATGAGGGGACAACTAGTCCTGTGAACAGTTTCTCTCCTTCCCTCACCATAGAGGGCAAGAGGGAGACTCCCCAAGGGTCAGGAGTGAATGGAGGAAAGGGATGAATTTTGAAAAGGAAAGAATAAAAGCAGGAGCCATTGGAAGCAGCCCATGTTGCCTCACGGATGCATGTCCCCCCAACACGCAGCCACAACCACAGACTGGTCTAGTCTGCCCTGTGGGCAAATAAGAGGGAAAGAATCTAATTTGGAATCCAAATTTCAAAACAAACAAGATTGAGACCTAAATACCAATGAGACAGAAAGTGACTGGAGAGTTATGGAGTCTAGAAGAAGGGTTTAGGGCTCTACTCAACACAGAAAAAGGGCTCAGAATAGCAGACTTGGTGGTCAGCTCCCCAGGTGATCCCAGTATGCAGTCAAGACTGGGAACCATTGCTAGGATTTTGTCTACATTCTTCAGGGCTAGGAACAGTGCCTAGCACCTAGCAGATACTCAAATAATACCTAAGAAATGAATAAATGAATGAATTCAAGCACAAAGAAGAGCACATCACCCAGTACCTGTATTTTGAAATGTTTGCCTAAATCAAGGACAATTTATTGGAACCTGCTAGGAGTTTGAGTGTGTCCCCCAAAAAGCAGGTACTGGAAACTTAATCTCCAATATGACAGTGTTAAGAGGTGGGCCTTAATGGGAGTTGTTTAGGTCATGGGGGCTCCACCCTCAATAATGGACTAATGCCAATGACAAATGGGCTTGAAGGGGTTGGGCATGGCGGCTCAGGCCTGTAATCCTAGCATTTTGGGAGGTTGAGGCAAGAGGATTGTTTGAGCCCAGGAGTTTGAGACCAACCTGGGCAACATAAAGAGACCTCATCTCTACAAAAAAAAAAAAAAAAAAGTCAAAAAATTAGTCAGGCATGGTGGCACATGCCTGTAGTTCCAGCTACTTGGGAGGTTGAAGTGGGAGGATAGCCTGAGCCCAAGAGGTTGAGGCTGCAGTGAGCTGTAATCCTGCCACTGTGCTCCAGTCTGGGAAACAGAGTGATACCCCAACTCACAAACGGAAAAAAAAAATGTGCCTGAGGGTACAAGTTTTATCTTTCACATGGGCGCCTACATGCTCTCTTGCCCTTCTGCCTTCACTAAGGGAATGATGTCGCAAGAAGTCCCTCTCCAGATGCAGACCCCTTGACCCTGGACTTCCCACACTCCAGAACAACAAGAAATAAATCTCTATTCTTTATAAATTACCCAGTCTCAGTTATTCTGTTACAAATGGACTAATACAAATGCACTGAGAGACTGAGACAAAACAAGAGTCGGGGTAGGAACAGGTGGGAGCAGGCTCTCAGAGCAACATGGTCAAGACAGCATCCCAGCCCCACCCTGCTCCGCCCAGCCCCACCATGCCCAGCCCCACCATGCCCAGCCCTACCATGCCCAGCCCTGCCCTGTCCTGCCCAGCCCACCCTTGCTCTGTCATACCCTGCCCAGCTCCACCTAGCTCTGCCCGGCTGCCCTGGGAATCTGCATTCCACAGACCCACAGAAACAGCCCAACAAGGGTCCTGGTAATTCCCATTCTGTTCCCCAACACTCCACTCACCCACACAAGAACTCAAAGCAATTCCTTCCACAGATGTGTGACCCACTGGTCTAAAATTAAACTCAAAGGTAACAATGAAATACACAATGTGAACAAATGGGAAAGTACCTTGAAAAGTCCACTAGCCCCCAAGGCAGAAAATGTACAGTCCTGATGATGCAACCCCACAAGCCCAAGTGCAAACTGGAGTCCAGAATTCTAAATGAAACACCAGGAAAGGTCACAAAAAAGATGTTATCTCAAAGTTCAGACCCTGCCAGAGACCGTTTACCAGCTCCACTGGAGTTCCTCCCAGCAAATATCTGGATCTGCTCCATTCTGTCTGCTCATCTCTCTCCTGTAATAGACTTCTATCTTGTCTCAGAGCTGTGACCTTGCCCCTGACCCCATGTCAACCCCCACAAACAGTAGTTACAAAAACAGGCAAAAGTCCCTACATCATGAAGCCAATACTTTTTTGTTCCTCTTTTTAACTGAAATTATCTCCGTTTTTGACTCTAAATTAATTTCACTAGTTCTTTTATTAATGGCTTATCTCTCTCGCTGGGCTATAAAACTTGAATGGGATTTAATTATTTTATGAATATCTTCTCTCTCTCTGGACTGTAACCACTAACAAGAGCAAGGACTGTATTCATTGAGCATATAGTAGTTGCTCAAGTAATATCTCACACATGTACAAGGAAATGACTTAGCATGGTCAGGCATGCTGTTTCCACCACAAGGCTTTTTCTGCCGGTCACACCCCAGATGCTTGTCAAGCAAGATAAAGAATAGAAGGGCCTCCAAAAGGCACTGAAAGTAGCCCAACTCTAAGCAGCCAAGAAAAGCAGAAGATCACACTCGTGAAGACAATTCTACAGACAGGGCTTGGTTGAGGCTGCAGAAATAGAGCTCACTGAGCCCAAGGGAAAAGCCCCCTCCACGGAGAAAACAGGGTGGGCCTGATCATGGACCAGGGCCAGGCTACACAGAGCCTCCTACTGAAGCTGAGCAAAAAATCTTGGGGGTCTGGCACTACCCCATCTTACAGGGAGGCCAGCAAATTTTCCAATACAGAGACACAGAATGCAGGCAGCCCCACATCTGCACTGGATTCACTGGGCACTGGCCTCATTCCAGTCATTTGCACAATAGCGGGTCATGCCTTTTGCATCAAGAACACCTGCCCAGGGGAACCGTTGCTTGGACTCACTGGCTAAAAGGTATTCAGCTCAGCAGCAAGACCTAACTGATAGATCACATTTTTCTTTTTTTTTTTTCAGAGACAAGGCCTTACTCTGTCACTCAGGTTGCAGTGCAGTGGCATGAGCATAGCTTACTGCAGCCTCAAACTTCTGAACTCAAGTGACCCTCTCACCTCAGCCTCCCATAGCCAGGACTATGGATGGGCTATTTTTTTTTTTCTTTTTAAGAGATGGAGTTTCATTATATTAAACAGGTTGGTCTCAAGCTCCTGGGCTCAAGTGATCCTCCTGCCTTGGGTTCCCAAAACACTGGAATTAAAAGCATGAGCCACTGTGCCCAGTCTCCATAAACTACTTTTAAGAATGGAGTTTTGAAACTTTCCAGTTCACCTCAGGCTAATTCTTTGTTTATTGATAGAAGTACTTAAGGTACCTGGTCAGAAGAAAATATTCCATTAATCTATACTGTAAGTTTACACAGAGAGAAAGTTCTAACACATCTGCAGCAATGCATTCTCAAAAATTAAAAGATGCCCCTTCAAGCTTTCTTTACTATTTATTTGTGCAGATTGATAAAATCTTAAGTCAAGACGATCTTTGACTCAAAATATTTCTGACTTAATGGAAATAGGTGGAATAAGAATAAACGTACCACCACTCTGATGCCAGACGCCAGTGTCTTATACCTTTGACATCTCTGTTTAAAAAAAACAAAAAACTTGTTTTGGCCAGGTGTAGTGGCTCAAACCTGTAATCCTGATACTTTGGGAGGCTGAGGTGAGAGAATTGCCTGAGTCTACAGGTTCAAGACCAGCCTGGACAACTTGGTGAGAACTTACCTCTACAGTAAATAAAAAAATTAGCCAGGCGTGGTGGCACGCACCTGTAGTTCCAATTACTTGGAAGGCTGAGACGGAAAGATCACCTGAGCCCAGCAGGTTGAGACTGCGATGGCCATGAGTGTGCCACTGCACTCCAGTCTAGATGACAGAGGGAGACTCCACCTCAAAAAAATAAAATAAAATAAAATAACTTATTTTTAAAATCTTTATATTTTAAAAAAGTTATTTTACTACAAATACAAACATATATGTCAATCTGAAAAATAAACTACCCATAACCCACACCCTTAATATAATCACAAATGGTATTTTTGCCTATTTCTATTTTTTTTCCTATTATTCTTAAAAACAAACAAGCCAGAACCTGGAGTTTGTTGTTTTTTTTTCTTAATTTTTTATAGAGACAAGGTCTCTCTATGTTGCCTAGGCTGGTCCCGAACTCCTGGACAAGCAATTCTCCCTCCTTGACCTTCCAAAGTCCTGGGATTACAGGTGTGAGCCACCACAACTGGCTCCAAAACCCAGTGAACAAAAATTACATATCCTACTTAAAAAAAAAAACTTGAACATAGTATCAAAGGCCATTGTCCACACACTTCAAAATCATCATGTTCAATGCCCATATCACATTCCTACAATTGTCTCAATTTGCTGAACCATTTTCGTATCACTGGATTTTTACTTGGTTTGAATTTTTTTCTCTATAATTAAAAAAGACTGCAGTAAACATTTTCATGTATAACTTTTTGTGTGATTATGCATTATAAGCTTTCAATAATGAGAGGTTGGAGCCCTCCTTACAACGAGAAAATTGAAAGAATGGCACCTAGGCAACCCCTTCGGGTCCCCTCCCACTGTGGGAGCTTTTCTGTCTTCTTTATAAACCCTGCTTGCTCAAAAAAAAAAAAAAAAAAAAAAAAAGTGTGGCACCTGACTCGGCCTCCAGAAGTTAATCAAGGGTAGGGTTATTAGATGTCTTTCTAAAGGCAAAGGTATTCTCAGGAATGCCATTTTCAAGATTAGGGTGGCCCAACCAATTTTGATCTGGGGCTTTTTCATCTCTTACATCTCCCTTCCACCAAAATAAATAAATATATAAAAAGGAAAGGAGAGCAAACCCCAAATTAGTTTTTTTGGGAGGAGGGGGCCATTTCAGGGAAGGGTCTAGTGTGACTAGTCTGTTGCCGAGGCGGCCCTTGTATAGGCGGCCCTTGTATAAATATTTCACATTACATCCCACCATTACATCACTTTCAGGACAATGTGGCCATTTGACACAGAAAAAAAAGATTTTAAAAGGGAGTTTTATGAGAAAATCTGACAAGCTCCCTAGACGTCATCAGTCGGTATTAACTTAGTATTTTGATGTCATTTGGAATGGATATTTTTGAAGAGCTCCTCTTCCTCACCAGCAATTTTCATTCAAGACCTTTAACTGGAATTTTCCCTAAGGGAAATTCAAATAGGCATCTCTTTCTGGGAACTTAGTAGCCGTCAGGAATCCAAACAAGGAAACCTCAGGCCCTACGTAAAACAAACACCTCCCCCCACATCTTGCCCTTGGACTATGCACACGAGGGACACATGCACATACACACACGTACACAGACACAGACATACGCAGAGACACACAAAGAGACACACAGACACTGCAAAGTACACAGAAGCTTAAACAATGACTCACCTGTTCCCCAGGCCTGGTCACATCCAGGGAGCCGGACAGCCTGTCATCACCGGGTCCTGCAGGGTTTCTACCTGCCTCCCCTTTCTCCTCCCTTCTGGCCTGAGGAAAGGTTTGCTTCCCTCAACAGACAGGCTGGGGTGGTGGCAGTGGAGGGGCAGGAGGAGTCTCTGCTCTAATGGAAAACACAGCTGCAGAGTAAAGGGGGTCTGGAACAACCGCCTTGGGCCAGGACAGTGCTGCCTCGCCCCCAGCCCGAGGGTCAGGCCTCTTCCCTTCCTGAAAGGTTCCAGGGCAAAGTCCACCACAGTCATGTGGTCACCTGGGTAAAGGGCAGGGAGGGAGGCTGAACCACAAAGCAGGTGATCAGGAGCACCTGGGTGCCTGCCGGAAGTCACATTCCTGTCCTGAGTTTGCTGGCACCCAACTCAGGCCCAGTGTTTCGCCTTTGTTTCCGGGTCTCTCTTTGGTGCACAACATTTTTCTTGGCTCCTTCTTTAGAGTTGTATTGAATCTTTGTCGCAATTGAAAAACAAACAGCCCAGAAGGGAGAAAGTATTTGTTGTCCAGTGAATTAATTCCTTTCACCATCAGCTGGAAGCCGGCTCTGGTTGAGCTTGGCCTTGGACCCAGAGGCAACCTAGGGCCGGCCAGTCCAGGATCAGATCCTGGGCTTGATGCCACCTGGGGCGGACTTGGGGGAGTGGCCTCCATGGGGTGGGAGGGTCCTGGCGCAGGAGGGGAGGAAGGGCACTTTCTCCTGGTCCTCCCAAGTTCTTTATAAGAATTTCCTGGCCGGCACAGTGACTTACCTCTGTAATCTCAGCACTTTGGGAGGCAGAGGCATGAGGATTGCCTGAGCCCAGGGGTTTGAGACCAGCCTGGGCAACTTGGCGAGCCCTTGTCTCTACGATAAATCAAAAAAATATTAACCGAGCATGGTGGCAAGCGTCTGTGGTTCCAGCTACTAGGAAGACTGAGGCAGAAGGATCACCTGAGCCCAGCAGGTAGAGACTGCAGTGACCGTGAACTTGCCATTGCACTCCAACCTGGGTGATAGAGTGAGACTCTGGCTCAAAAGAAAAAAAAAAAGAATTTCCTGAGTATGGTTAGGGTGATGGGGTTTGGTCAGAGGGTCCCCTCCCAGTTTCCTCTGCTGGGAAACAAGCCTAGTCATTGCTGTGATGCCTTCCCTCCAGCCCTGTGGGAGTGATGGGCTCTTATGCTGGTTGGGGGACACCTGGCCTGGCTCCTGCTGAGGTTCTGCCCATCAACCCTGCAGGACTAGTGTTTCTCTGTTGTGTCCATACCTCTCCTGGGACAGGAGGAGTATTCCTGTAGGCAACAATTTCCTCTGGGTGTGGCCACCTTTCTGATGCCGCCAGCATGCCTGGCTGAGCCCTGCCCCTCTGGAGACCTGAGAATCTCTATTTCTGTTTGGATGATGTCCTTCCCCTCAGCCCCCCAGATGTTCTTGAAAAGTGACACCTGCCCTACCTGTAACTTATAGGGTGGAGGGTCAAATTTTCAAATACATGAATGTGCTTTCTCTTCTAACATTCTCCCCAGTTATCTCGAAGCATCCACCTGCCTGCAGGGGTGGGGCACACAGAGTGAGAGGAAGATACAAATAAGAATTTTCTAACAGTAATGCAAAGAAACAAAATTGTTAACACCCAGCTTCTTACACCCAGCATGGGAGTTTTGTGCCTGTAGTCAGACAATATGTCCGAAAGCCAGCCCCTGTCTAGAGACGAGGGTTTTGGAATCTGCTACGCTCAATTGTGAGAGTGTAGCAACCCACAGATCATGTTAGAGGGGTCCAGATGGTGGGGGGAGCGGGATAGAGGGGTGGGAGCAGAGGCGGGAAAGTCACCTGCTTAGCCTCAGGATTGGGGAAGAATGGAGACTTGGAGGTGGTGGGGAGGAGGAAATTTTCAAAAATTCCAGAGAGCCAGACTCGGTGGCTCAGCCTGTAATCCCGCACCTTTGGGAGGCTGAGGTGAGTGGATTGCCTGAGCCCGCGGGTTCGAGACCCACCTGGGCAACTTGGTGAGACTTCATCTCTACAATAAATCAAAAAATCCGGCTACTCGGAAGGCTGAGGCGGAAGGATCGCTGGAGCCCAGCAGGTCAAGGCTGCAGTGGCCGAGAGCGGCTACTGTACTCCAGTCTGGGTGACAGAGTAAGACTCCAACTCAAAAAAAAAAAAAAATTCCAGAGAGATCTGAGGAGTACAGGAGCAATGGGGTCAGTATGGACTCTTCTGAATATCTCATTGGGGAAGCTGGAAACCCCCAGAAGACCTCAGGCCAGTCCCAAAATAGTGCAGAGCCATGAAGAGGCAGGTAGGTGTCCAAGAGTGCAAGGCAGTATCCTGTCACCCCCTGAGTGACGTATGACGTGCAAGATCACAGAAGTGACTGGTGAGGGCAGGACTTGCTTTTTCAAGGCCAGCAAGAGAATCTCTCTGACTTCTAACCCCTCCTTTAAAGGGCTCACCTGATTAGGGCAGGCCCACCAAGTACAATCTCCCTTTTGCTCAACTGATGAGGTACCTTAATTACATCTGCAAACTCCCTTAACCTTTGCCATATAACATAACCTAATCTCAGGAGTGATGTCCATCATAGTAATAGTCCCATGCACACTCAAGGGGAGAGGTGTGTACACCAGGGAGTGGGAATCTTGAAGACCATCCTAAAATCCTCCACCCACAGTGCCTGAGCCAAAGCTCACACAAGGGAGGGCACCCTCCAACCCAGGTAACTTAGAGGGAAAAACTGTCCATTAGCACACACTGCTGGTGGGTGTGAGGGAACCTGCTGCTGGGAGCCTGGTTCATGCTTGGACAGTATGGCAGGGCCTGCAGCTCAGGCTGATCTCAAGTAAACTGACCCCACCTCACCTTGAAAGGCCCAGGGGTGCAGTGAGAGCCTGGAATCAGCTCATCAATTCCTGGCTTTAGGGTTACCCTGCACAGAGGTCATCTGGGAGCAACACATGGGATCTCCTCCCTCAGGGACTTCTGGTCAGTCATCCTCTTCCCAACACCTGTTTCTCACTCCTAAAGTGAGGGGGCTGGTTCTAGCTACTTGGAAGGTTGAGGCGGAAGGATTGCCTGAGCCCAGCAGGTTGAGGCAGGCACCAGTGGGTGTGAACGTGCTGCTGCACTCCAGCCTGGGCGACAAGAGTGAGACTCCAACTCAAATGAATGAATGAATGAATGAATGAATGCTGGGCCAGATGGCCCTAATCCTGCCTTTCACTTCTAGACTCCGTGACTCACCATGCCCTGAGAGCCATCCAGCACGAGAAACAAACCTGTGGCCCTCTTGGGTAAATCAGAAGAAGAGTTCTTGTGGAGATGTGGAGAGTCAAGCTCAGATGCAAATGAACTCCATGGCAGAATGCACCAAAACTCATAACCCAGACATTATCCACACTGACGTGGTACTGTGCACACCACGATCAACATCACTGATAAGGGAGATTAGGCAAAAATGGAACATATGAGGGGGAAGCCTAAAAAAACCTGGAATTTATTTATTAAAAAATGGTGTATTTGTTCTTACATGTTTGAACTACAGTCACCATCAAAGTACACTTTTAATTTGATGCAATACACCTATCGAGATGCTTTTTCCACTGCTCAGAACAATTTTTCAACTCATCAATTTTGATGCCTTTTAGTGTTCCTGCCGTTTTTTGTTTCACCTCTTCCATGTGGGTAAAATGTTTCCTTTTGAGGGCTTTTTCATTGGGATTTCCTTTTGAGGACTTTTTCATCGGGGAAACAAAAACAAAAAGTCGCTCAGGGCAAGTTCTAGCGAATAGGGGGAGGGTGGGGCATGGGGGGGTCATGCCGTTTTTTTTTTGGTTAAACAAAACAAAACAAAACACTGCTGAACACCCAAAGCAGTGTGGGCAGGTGTGCCCGTAAATCACCTATCGTGAAATGGTCAAACACATGGAAAGACTCTCAAAAAAAAAAAACAACAATTCACTGAAGCATCATACTCACGACACTAGCTGACACACTGATGATGACGGGTTCCTAGAACACTTAACTGGCAGGGGAAGCCTGTACTTCAAGGGGCTCGCCTTTCAAAACATAATTCAGTTTGTTTTGGGCCCCCCCATAAGCAATTTACTTACATGACCCTAATTAATATTACGTCACGTACATAGGCACACACACACCCATGCACACATGCCCCTTTCCAGAGAAATGCAAAATTATAGCACTGTTGATCCAGAAGGTCCTCCGGGGAGTATCTGGCCTAAGCTCTCCCCACTAGACACACTCCCCACCTCCACCCCATGGATGAAGAGTCTCTACAATCCCTGTGCCAAAGGATTTCTCAGTTTCTGCGCAAATATCTACAGTGACAGGGGATTTTCTCTTCCCAAGACAGCTCATTCCATGTGGACTCCTTTCCATCCACATGTGCCCTTTGTAACTTTCTGCCCTGTGCTCTTCTGAGGTCGCATAGAAAGACCCAAGCCCACTGCTGTGTAAATGTTTCTGAGATTTTTAAATAGTTTTCGGGACTTGCAGCAGATACAGTAGACCCATGCCCTCCTTTTTCCTTATGAGGAGATCCCAATGTGGCTCGGATTGTTAATACATCCCTAACTCCCTTCCAGTCGAAGTATCCATTTGACCCCACTCTGACCAGGGAACCATGAACAGAAGTCCTCTGGGAATTTATGGGGAAGCAGTGCCTCCCCTTCCCCCTTGGGGGCTTCCTTGCAGAACTGTGGTTAAGGATCAAACTAAGCTGTGATCATTATCTGAGGTCCAGCTCTTCCAGAATGTTCTTATCTCCTAAGGCCTTTGAGATAAGCAGAAATGGTTGGTTGTGTGTGCCTTGCTTTGAAACCTTCACCCTTGCTTATCTCAATGGAAAATTCCAGTGGGGGATTTCTGAATAGCAATTTAAATTCCTCTGCTCAACAATCAGTTTGGCTCATGGCTGCCCGCCAGGCTGGCCAGAGCAGAGAGGAGCAAAGCAAATAAAACAAAGTCCTAACCCTGAATTGTATCCCACATCTTTACAACAAAAATTTAACAAAACAAA